ATCTTGTTTTCTGTGTTATATTCGGCTCAACTATATGGTCAATATGTGTTGGTATTTTCACCACAGTACGCTCTACTTGGTATTAACATCTTCTGTTCTAAGATTCTCGGCGAAGTATAAACATTTTGTATAGGATCTTATTACTGAAAACATACAAGATTACTCGTGTCCCAGTTTATTTTGTCGACCGCCTATGTCAATTTGATCTTACTTTTCACAGACGAAGGTTAATGTACCACCACATGGAGATCTTCAACAAGGTTGATGTCATAGTGACTCCAACAACTGGGTATGAGAAGCTCACCTGTTTATTTTAAGCATAATTTTGGAATTAAGTTCATGTGCTTGGCAATCCCATACGCTTAGGCCTTTCTCACTCCAGGTTTTGGCTCATCGTTTTTTTTTTTTTTTTTAACTTCATTTTTTTTTTTAAGGGTTTATTATTATTTATTTACTTTTCCCCTTTCTTTTTTTGGGGTATGGTATTAGTTCAATTGTTATATAAATCATATAAATACAGGTTTTCATGTGTATATCATTGCATATTCCATAAACATCTATATTATGAGCAAGAATTATTTTTTGTCGCAGCAACTTTATTAAGGTGGGTTTGGCAATTGTTTTTTTTAGTAGTTTTTTCTTTTTCTTTTTATTTTTATTTTAGTAGCTTTTTTGCTTGTTTAGGCCTCGTTTGGGAACCTTTCCTTTTAGCCAAAAAGTCAAAAAGTTACTAAATTAGCCAAAAAGCAACAATCCATACCAAAAAGTCAAAGATTCTCTTTTCTCTCTACTTTTTGCACATCTTTTTGTAAAAAGCCAAAAAGTCATCCCAAACATACTAGTTTTTTTTAGTTCATATTTTAACCAAATAGCCAAAAAGTTACTAAATTAGCCTTTTCCCAAACGAGGCCTTAGAATCTAGAAAAGCTGATGCAATTGATAATTGTTGATTTTTTAAATATTTTTTAGTGAGAATTACATCCTAGTGATAAATATGGAGGTGTGCAAGCGACACTTTTTTTTTTGTTTTTGTTGAAGTGCAAGTGACACTTGCACCCTTAAGCCATGTTTGTTTGGGTGGACATGAGCTTGGGATTGGACTAATAGTCCAATAAAATTATTAATCTGATGTTTGGTTGAACAATTGAAGTACGGATTAACAATCCATTCGGATATGCTATCCCACATATGATGGACTATTCAATCCCACAGAGGGGGGTGGGATATAAATTGGAGTAAGCCAAAGCCTGGACTGTTAGTTCCCCTTATAATCCTAATTCAATCCAAACATAGGATAGGATACACAATCCAAAGGGATTCGTAGTCCTAGGACTATTAGTCATGGGAATACTAATCCAACCTAATTCAGTCCGCCTAAACAAGCATGGCCTTACAGTTTTCCACTTTCACCCTACTATAGAATAACTTGCACCCCACATGTTTTTCTAATTTTTTTCTCTATCCCACTTTGTTGTAGTTCTTCCCTATTTTTTTATGGGAAGATAGTTTTGTGGGTCTTTTTAAACTTCAATTTTTTGGTGGGAAATTACCATATTATTCTATAGTGTTGTAGAGCCCTTGTTACCATAACCAAAGGAACACCGTGGAATTTCTCTAAGTATTGAGAGTAAAACCGTCGTTATAGAAATCTGCAGAGACATTGAAAAAAAAGGAGTTTCTATTTACGCAACAAAATTCTCTCCTTACTCCTATTTTTTTTACCAGCATGACAGCACCTGTAATACCTCCAAAAGCTCTTGAATCTGGGGAGTCAAATTTGCAAGTTTCAGGTGAGTTGGTTATCACTCTCAACTTGCACCATGAGAAAGTAATGTTGCCTTTTTGAATCTGAATGTCATACTTTGAATTGCCTTCTACAATCACCTTTGAATCTTTGATGAATGTAAGTTGTGATGTAAAAAAGTTATATTTTTATCCCACTTTAGAGCGGTAGTAGGGCATGCAACCAATCTGCCACCTGCAATAGTAGAGTAAGTTTACATACACAATTAAACTACAGAAAAAAGTATCAAGAATGTAAATGTTAGCATGATAAGGCCCATTTTCTGGTGAAAACAGCAAATTATAACTTTTAGTGGGCCTCATCGTGGTAATGTGTCTATTCTTGATTTTTATTTTTATTTTTGCTATTGGTTTAATTTTATGCATGTAAACTAACTCGTATTAGTAGGGTTGTTCAATGCACAAGATGGTTGTTTCAGCCAGTTGCAAGTGCTTCTAGTTGATTGCATTGCCATTAGCTTTTAGACTTTTGGCACTGATTGCAAGTGCTCCTATTTTTACCATGCAATTTTGTGTAAGAACACGGGGCCCTCTTGTATTTTTTACTTTTTTCCAATCAGTGAACGATGAAACTTTATTAAAGAAAATGATTAAGTACAAAATGAGGACAAGAAGTCCACCAGAAAGAGAAAAACAAGAAGAGCAAAAAATCTCACATCTCTGCAATCCCTAGAAAGTCACTGATACCCACAAGCATGCCAAAAACCAAATTATTTTGTTCCTCTGAACTGTTGATGTAATTTTCCATTGCATGTAAAATCATCTCAATTATCTTTGTGGAACTCTGTGTTGTTGCCACTTTTTCAGTTTTTGCGACTTTATGTTCTTGTAAAAATATTTTATGTTTGTGGTGTTATTTTCAGGTAATCTCATGCGATTTGTTTTAGCAGCAAATCTTCTTGGACTCCCAGCCATTTCTGTCCCTGTAAGTTTACATGCATCCTTTTCTCTTGGCATTAAGACTTAAAAGTATTTCAACTAGGTTAACAGTATGTTTGGTGGGGATTTAACTTGGCGAGAAATGATAATAAATAATGAAAACACTTTCTCATGTCATGTGTTTGGTTTATAAATTAGGCAAGTAAAGACAACATCATTTTTTTTTTTTTGCCTATTTCATTTCTCACAAAAAAATTGTGAATTAGTGAGAAACAAGTTGATTGGTTATAAAATTTTGAAATTGTCCATTTAAAATAAATAAATCTCACTCATATCCTTCTTTCACATACTTTGTTTTCCTTTATCCGTCGAAATATGATAGCGATAAAATACAATTTTTTTTTTTTTCTCACCGAAATGAGAAACCACATTTATTTCTCTTCTTTTCTCACCAGGTTGAGGACCGGATCAAATTTATTTGAAATTTCATTTTAATTACTGTTCATTGTTGATGATTGTTTAGGTTGGATATGATAAACAAGGACTGCCAATAGGATTACAACTAATAGGCCGTCCATGGGCTGAAGCTTCAATTTTGCGTTTAGCTGCTGCAGTGGAGGTACATCAATTACTGTTATTGCAGCCTCTAAATTGTGTTTTATCATAATAATAATAATAATTTGAGAGTCTGTGAAGCTATTTATTGCAACTTCTATTACACCTTATGACTAACAAATGACTTAAACAAGATTTTAAAATTAAAAAAGAAAAAAAAAAACAATTATCTAACAGCTGGAAAGAAGGGTGTTGATTGATTGTTGACTTGTAACTTTCAATAAGCTGCACAAAAGGCACATACGACTAGCACCAGTATCCCATCTGTATGTAAGTAATATGCAAGTGGAGTAAGTACTAACATATAGATGATCTTGCCATTTCCAGGAACTCTGTCCTGAATCTAAGAAGAGGCCTCAGTCATTTTATGACATTTTAAAGGGGAACTAGAGAAACGAGGGAGGGGTTCACTTCATGCCTGCCACGCACAGGGTTTACTTGCTTTGGAATCTCTAGCCTGCTCATGCCAACGACCGTCCCTTTCATACCATGTTTGAACATCACATTTTGTTGTAGTATGAATATATATATATATATATATATTCTTGACCTTTTACCAAACTTCCATTCAATTATACAAACCGTGTTCAACGAAGATTATGACGAGTAAATTACATGTTGCTATTAGCTGCAAGTACTAAATAAATTGGTGGCAACAGCGGTCCCCTTCAGTGTGTGTTTGGCCAAATTATCCATGAATTCTGGGCCCAAGTAGATGGGATTCTTAGGTATTAACCATACTCGAGTTCTAACTATAGTTACAAAAATAGAATTTTCTGTATCATACCTTTAAAAAATTGGGAACTATAAGTTAATTTCAATGGTAAGTAAAAAGTTATGATGCTACCTTCATCTCCCCGACCAAAGGAGCTGCCTGACAAACGAGCTAAACAAAGGCCCTCTGTAATGACTGTTGAATCTTTTTAAATCCATAATGGCATAACAAAAGGAATGCTTGTTGTCATATTCGGGAATATTCGAATCATGTAGTCAATACATTCACCTCGAAAGCTAAAGAATTGGATGTTCTTTACATATCCAGAATCAACAATGCTCCCTACACCCAGTGGGGGTGGCGCCCCCAGTGACGTGGCGCGCCCCCACTGGTCGAAAATCAAAAAAAAAAAAAAAAAAACTGTTTTTTCCTTCCAACCCCCGGGTGACACCTCACTGGGTGTCACCCCCAGCTGGGGGTAGGAAGCTTTTTCCATCCAGAATTGAGCTTGGCTTGCTTCAAGTTCTTCTTGTCTACACTATCACTAGGGAGATCAGGACCAGGGGGTATCTTTCCTGGATAATTAGTTGTCGATGGATCTGATCCTGACATGCTGGAGGATATAAGAGAAATCAAAATCGGGACCCTGAACAACCAAGAGGAATTCATATAACAGCCAATCAATTGAGAACTTATACCTTTTGTCCACAATAACCATAGAGCTAAGCTCGCAATTTGCAAAACTGCAGATACATGTTGCAGAAGTCAATCAGGTGAAGACTACGACGCTAATTTTTCTGTTACTTCTTTTCCATTTTCAAATCTTAAATAGAGAAAAGAATATTAAAGAAATGAATTTGCACCAAATTTACAAGTTTTAGAAGCAGATTATGGAAATGATTGGTAGCTCACAGAGAATAATTTTGACTTCTACTTTTGTTCTGTTTGAGTAAACAATGTTTAGCATAGAAAAGAAAGTAACCACATACATAAGAAATTGAGAAAATGCGTATGCACAATAGCGTTTCATCTTTCTAGTCAACAACTTGCAGTATATCAAAACTAAGCATTATTGAGTACTAGTTTTTTGCTTCAAGAAAAACAATTCTAGCAATGGAAATTTTATTTTTGTATTTTGTTTTGTTGTGTTTTGTTTTGGTGTTTTTGGTGCCTTTCAAAGCAGAAGAAAATAATAATATCCATGTTTCTATAGGAAGAGTAAAACAAAAAATATTAGCCACCTTGGAGAGAAATTTTTAATGAAATTACAGGCTCTAACCGTTGACCGAGAGAGAGAGAGAGAGAGAGAGAGAGAGAGAAGTTCTAACCACCCAGATGAAAAGAAAATCAATCCTTCACAAAGACAAGAACTCACATTGTCTTGCAAACAATGGGTTCATGGATGCTTACTGCTTGCAAATTTCTTTCTTAACCAAAGGGTGACAGTCATTGCCGAATCCATTTAGTGCGTGAAACAAGAATCCACTATGTGTGATGATGGCTATCTCCTTTTCTTTCCGTGTCCACAACCTGTATAGAATAAAAGAAATCGTCAAGAAGGCGGCTCAAGTTCTTATTCTTTGTACAAAAAAGGCAAGGCTTGAGTTCTGACAAAGTTACACTAAGTTAAACCTTTAAGTCCCACTCAAGTGGGGTCAGTAAGTGGAGTGGAGGTAACAATCTATCTGGTAAATCAACAAAACAATTGTAACTTTTATTTATTGGGAGCCATTTAAATACATGTTCATCACTAGCAGAGACGAAAATTATCCACCAAAAATAAATAAATAAATTGATATGAAATGGAGCTACACATACAGAATTATAGATGTTCTTGTGAATGATGAGTTGAAAAGGACATGTACATCAGACTACCTAACGCAATAGAGAAGGATAAGAGTCAAGCTAAGTATACAACTCGGGACAACACAATGG